CCGCCGCGGCGCGCCGCGGCGCTGAGGGGCCGTCGCCTCGGCTCTGCGCTGCTGCGCCTGCTGCTGCTGCTGCTGCCAACGGCCCTGGCGGCTGCAGGAGCAACTCGGCATTGCCTGGGGCAGCGCGCTGATCCCAGAGGTTTTGGCACACTGGCAGCCGGCGGCCAGGGCCGTTGGTCGGCTTGAGGGGCTTCCGTGTCGAGGAAGTAATTGGGTGAGCGTGGCGTTAGTAATGATGATGCCAGCCCCCCCACCGCACCTTTATGACCTTCACTTGCTCCACAGGGCCAAAGTATGAGCAGATATCCTACAAAAGGCGAAACGATGCGATCAGGGCCGTGGAGGGGGTTGGCGGGCGCGCCGCGGGGCACCGCAGGGCATCAAACCGGGGCCGCGGGTCAGGCCAGGACCAGGGTGACGAACTTCTGGTGACGCCATGTCCGGGGTGACTAAGGTGCCGCGTTGCGCGCGGCGTATGCGCGCTGCGGGCGGCCGCAGCCTTGGAGGAGCACCCTAGAATGCCCTGAGCTGCTTTTGGAGGCATAGGGCAGCCCAGAGGAGGGCTGCCGGCAGTCTGCTGTCGAAATCCAATATGCCAAGCTGCAGAGTGCCGGACATGGCGCCTTCGCGCGGCCCGCCGCGCATGCGCCCCAGCCCTGCAGGCCTGGCATTCTGCTGCTCCAGCTGCACCCGCACCTGCAGCGCCACCACTGTCACGCAGGGATGGAGGTTTCCAAAGTACCTGCTCGCAGGGCGCGCGACACCGGGTGACGAAGGCAGCAGCGGTGGCGGCGGCGCGGTCAGCGGTGCGCCTGACAGCCGAGTGTGGATCAACTGGCTGGCATTGCGTAGATCACTTGACTCGACTGCGCCCCGCGGTGGCCACTGTAATGAAACATTGGCGGCGACTCGCCTGAGGCGGGCGCGCTGCCGCTGCCCGAAGGCGCCAGGTGCGCAGCGCACTGAGGTTCATGCATATCAGCCGCCATTGGAAGCCATTCTATTCGCAGAGAACGGGTTTAGCACGCTCGATCCACAGCGACTGAAAAGTACTCACAGTGTTGAGCCTGTTCCATCCCGCGTCATATCATTTTTTGAGAAATCCACGCCACTTGCAGCATCCTCGACGTTTTCCGCATCCAGGCCGCCCAAGCTCCCTGCTTGGTGCATCCTGGCCCCCGCCCGGACGCCCTTTCTGCGTGGATCGACTCCAGGACCGATGTATCCACTATTTATATAGTATTGTTTTGTTTGATGTGGCAAACATTCCCGACACAAGGGGTTGCTTCCGTGGGTGACCCGTCAGGTAATCTTAAACGGTAAAAGAACGGCCCAAGACATGCTAAAATAAACAAGTAAGCGAGGCAGAATGTCTGTGTGGGGCAAGAGCTTCGAACCAACCCTGCCTTATTCCACATAGGCACACCTGACTCCGTTTTATTCGTACAAGTTTCTGAGGTCGCACGTATGTCTTTGCCTGAATTTTGCTAAGCTTTCTGAACCGAATTGACAGGATCACGGGTGAAAGAAGGCCCCGCTCGGATGGGAGCTTGCGGGTGCTGGTGATGCCGCGCGTCCTCTGACAGCGCTCTGTGGCCTTCGTCATTCCTAGAACCTGAAATCAACTTATAAACTCTTCGAGAAGGTTGGAGCCTGTTTTAGGCAGGTCGAGGGAAGGGTGTCATCGCGCCTATAGGGATCACGCGCTCCCGTCATGCCCCACACCTTGCACTGGGGCCCGAGGCAGATTAGTCATGGCGCTTGCTGGCCAGTTCGCTCGCTTGCGTGACGCTTGCGTTAAGCTTCACGCATTGGCGCACAAAAAATCATGTGATGGACTTTGTGTGTGGTCGGGTTGCACGTACAGCGGCTCGCAGCGGCCAAGTACCCTGCACAAGTGCACCATCGCTCATCTTCCAGCAGGGGGAAGGCCAGCTGACTGCCCGCGTGACCCCACTTGCCTGCTGAGCACTTTGCAGGTGACTCAGAAGCTACAGACACGATTTTTAGATGCATCAGAACAAGAACAAGGCACCCCCATGGCTCTGACGCGTGCCGCAGCTTTGCGGAAACGCCGACGGAAGAGGCGCGCGGCCTGCCCGCTTCCTGCTCTGCACAGCCGCGGCGACCCTACCTCTTGCTGCGGGCGCCGCCATCGAGCGCTTCCGGCTGGTGGCGGGAGGCGTCGACGGCGTCGATGACGTCATCGAGGTGCACGCGTCAGCACACGCAAATGCTCCCGTCGCCGCAGCCCGGTACCACGGGCGTTGCAGGCAATCACGGCCAGGCGGGTGGTGGTGGTGGCCAGGCGCACACGAGCCAGTGGAGGCTGTACTCAGAGACCTCGTGCGCGGCAAATGTGCTGGCCGCTGACGCCTTGATGGGCAAGGGACCCCTGGCCAACACGGGTCTCAGCGCCGACCAGCTGCAGCTCATCAGCACCGCCCCAGGCGCAAGTGCCCTGCCACCAGTCCACAACTGCAGGCCGCAAGTACGATGCCCAGTGCTGGCGGCAAGCGGTGTGCTGCGCTGCCTGGCGCACCAGCTGTCCAGGCTCATGCATGAGCGCAGGAATGTGATGCGTGCATGCACAGTGTGTGCATGCGCAGCGCCCTGCACATCGCGTTCCACCAGCCCGTCTGTCCGTGAAAAACCTGGGCTGGCCGGAAAGCCGACGAGACACCACTGTGCTCCTCGTGTATAAAGTATGTCTGACCTTTGTCTGACTTGTCTGACCTTGTCTGACCTTGTCTGACCTTGCCTGACCTCACTGATTGTCTGACGCAATCAGTGACGCGCACTCTTTAACCGATTGTGTGGAGGGGCTGGTGGCCATGAAACGCAGCAAGTGTGGCAAGCAGCAGTGAGCGCTGAGCGAAGACGGGTTACCTCTGCTACTAGCACTCGCCCCTGCCAAACGTGACAGAACGCAACCAGAGGTGGCAGTACTGGCTGCAGGAGGAGCCTTTGGCCTCCCTCCTCTGGATTCTGGCCGCTGTGCCGACCTTGCGAGGCCGGCCTTCAGGGGATGGGGGCTGAGGTGCGTTGCATGGCCATCATGTGGCGTTCGATGTGCACGCTGGGCATCCAGTTGCCCAGCATCCGTCCGTACTGATGGCAGCTCAGGCTGCATGCGTGCACACGGCCGCTGCAGGCTTGTGCAGCCGCAAGAGCGACACACCGCATTCTTGTTCTGCACCTGTGCGCATGGGCGCGCCAAGAGACCCTCCTGTTGAAATCCACGGCTCCTACTCAAGCTCCCCATGCCTTCTCAGGTCTGTTCTACAACCAGAGCGCCTCTAATATTCACTGCATAAGCCTGTGCTGCCATGTAGTATTTTCAGCAGCACCTGCACGATACAGCACAGTTGTTGGGGCGGTGTCGGCGGCTCCACTCACTTGCTCATTTGCTGCCCTCAGTCGCTCACGGGTAAGCCACACCCTTCCAGCTTCAGCACCTCTCGTGTAACAAGAACATGCGGACTACGAGTTACAAGCCTAGAAACTTCACATGCAAACATGTGCTCTCAGTTGTGACATGCTGCCAAGCATGGCAGCCTCAGCATTATGCACGTTCTACAATGCTCAGGCCACGCACAATATCTAGCACGTGGCTGACAACTCACTTTGGCGGCAGAGCGTCACACGCCCCCCGCAGCCCATGCGCACGCAGCCGGCGCGCAGCATGCATGTGCAGTACAACCACCAACAATATGACCCGTGCATGGCTAGCTTTTGGCTGCCACTCAGTTCGCGCCACCCGCCGTCAGGAATCCCACTGCGGCCTCAACCAGGGCCTCCCTGTGTTCCTGGGCCGTGAAGTTGTGATCTGCGCCCTCTATGATCTTCAGATCACTTCCTGGCAGCGCGGCCGAAAAGAGCGCGGCGTCTTTGACGTTGATGGCTCGGTCCAGCGTCCCGTGCACGGTCAGCACGCGCGGCTCGCCCCTCGCGGCTATCGTGGCGCATGCGGCGGGGATGTCGACGGAGACGCGCTCGCGGACGTCCTGCGTTCAGCATGCGTTGGAGGTAGCAAACTTTTACGTTTGCGTGAGCGGCTGATGGTTGGCAGAGACCTCGTTGCACCCGCCGCGGCTGTGCCCTTGAGCAACGCAGCATTGATAAGGGACGTTCATGGCCAACAAGCACCCAGCATCTACCCAGTGAATTGCGGCTGCTTAGTGTATAAATGCGGCTGGATCAGCAATCACTGATGTGTTGATCCTTCCGGGTCAGCGCATGAACAAGCTGGATGTAAACGCTGAGCACGATTGAGCAAAGGAGCCATGCGCACCTCATCTGTAAGGTCAAACTTGACCTTTCTGGCGCCGCCGCTGCCCAGGACCGCGGTGATCGTCACAGGCCCCTGCTTGAGCCTTTCAAATATGTCTGCGCCGAACCGCTCCGCGAGGCCCTCGCTCATGACAAACCTGGGGGCGCATCCCAAAGCACACAAAGGAGTTAGGGGCCGACATGTTTAGTGGCAAAGCGTGAACTTTCCGGGTGCTGCACGTGGTTTTCTCAGCTACATGCTGTGAGTCAGCATAGCAGCTCAAGCGTACTGCTAGCAAGTCAAGAAAGATGCATGGCACTGCCGAGCACATAGTTTGTTGCGCGTGTAAGTCGCCAAGCGACACACCACATGATGTGGAGCGGCTGCGCGGACAGACTTGCAGTCATGGAGCCCTCTGCAAGTCGGCACTTTCCTGAACCACATTGCTATGCTGTTGCGCGACGCAAAGGCGCCCGTGCACGCGCCCTCGTCTGTCCGAGGCCGCACACCCACATCACACCCACGGCACCGACGACACATGACGGCACACAACAGAGGGGCCCGCCCACCTGCCGGCGACGTTGACCACGCGGGGGATGTCGCCATGCTTGGCGGCATACAATATGACGGTGTCCCCGCCCTTGCTGTGCCCTGCAGCGGTGGCGGCGCACGGCAACGCACAGTCCTTTGCAAGGGAACGTGGGCGCACGGCAAGGGGCCTGACGCGCGGCGCAAGTGGCGCCGTTTTCGCGGGCCGGCGATACTATTTAGTGCGCGCACGGCAGGCGACCTCACTGGCTGACCACCGCAAGCGCGCACTGAGGCGTGCCGGCAGGAAGCCCGCGAGGCAGCAGCTCGTGCAGCATGCCGTACACCCTGGCCAGCGATGCCTGGTAGCCTGCACATTGCAAATCAAATTGCACGCAGGGCAGGCCGCTGGCGGGTGCCTGTTGCTCACCGAGTAGGCCGACCACCGTCTGAGCAAACTCAGTCTCGAGCAACCGCTTGGCGCAAGCGACGTCCGAAACCTCACCCTGGAAGTTTGCGAACCGCATGACGCCCTCGCTGGCCCCGTTGCCGGCAAAGTCGAATCGGAAGCTGTTGAGCCCTGCTTCAGCCAGGGCCTGCGCAGCAGGGCGGGTGGCGGCCGCACCCGCGGCAGAGTTGTGCAGTTTGGAGCGCCCCGAGGCAGCGGAGGTTTGCCAGGGGTGGAGCCCGTCCCGTGCCACGGCCCCATGCGACCTCCCAGACAGCCGCAGGCACTGCAACCCCCGAGCATGCCCTTGTCATACTTGCATGTTCAGGGCGGCACACTTTCACCTGAGCGAGCTGCGGCAGCGCCATATCGTTCTGGTGTGAGGCGTAGCCATGGCACAAAATGGCACACTGCGACGACTGCGCCCCGCTCCGCACAAAGGTGCTGGCTAGCCGCAAGCCATCAGCGTTGACAAACGACACGCTTTCCTCAGTCGTCGCTGGTCCTGGCTGCGGCTGCGGCATCGCGGCGCCTCCAGCAGTGGCGGCGCAAGTCAGAGCGGGTGACGCAACGTAAGTGTGGACGGCAGCGAGCCAGGAGCCTTTTGAGGATACGATCTTCAACCTTCGCCCTTGCGCACGCGTATGCGCTGTAGGCTGTTGCGACTGCAGAAAGCGCGATCTGTGATCCAGCATGCTCTGCGATCTTGAGCAGCACAAACGTGTTGATACGGGCTTGTTTCAAAAAACTTTCAGATAGTGTATAATCAGACGAAGCCCAGATCGGTGTCATGCGAGTGACTGGTCAAACCCTGCATGGAGCGCTCGGCACGGTCTACATCGCGCTTTTCGACATCACGTATGAGATTTGAGTCATTCTACCGTCCAAGGCCGTGATTAGCTTCGATAATCACCATGCCGCCCTTTGGCAACCTGCTCAAGCGAAAGGACGACAAGGTATGGAGCAAAACGATCAAAATATATAGCTTAAATTCGAGCGGGGGCGGCGCTGCTGGCATATAGCTGTCGCGACGCCGCATTCGATGTCGACTCCGCCGCAGGAACGCTCCCTGGCTCAGGACAAGCGGAGAGCAAAGGACAAGTCGCCGCTGCCTCCTGATGATGCCGCCCCTCCTCCTCCGCCGCCGCCCGGCGATGAGTTTGCCATGGTGCGCCTCCGCCCCTCCTGGTCTGGGCTTCCGCACCCACGACGCCGCACATGCGCCATGCTAGCCTGCTGCAGCTAAGGCCATCACCGCTGCCACCACACCGACACGCTCGCACCTGCATGCACATAACCCAACCGCCGCTGCACGCAGCCGACGCGCGAGTATGTGCGGCCGGACAACCAGCTGCCGCTGTCAGAGGCTGAACTGGCGGAGGAGGTGCCGCGCATGCTGACAGCCAACAATCCCGTTGCGCCCAAAAACCTGGCGCGGTGCGGCCCTGGTTCGCATTGTGGATGCAGCGCACGCTGCGAGCCGGGCATACCAGGACCCATGCTGCTCCGGGGCCGCCATGCATGCGGGGGGCATGCCATGCATGGGCAGAATCAGGGCCCCCTGGCCAGTGTGCAGACATGCGCCCAAACGCACGCGATTGCTCGCACGCATGAGCCCTCATGCGTCTGGGCAAACATGTGCATGCGCGCGGGACGCCACCCGCAGCTTCAATATGAAGGAGCGCTGCTTCAAATTCGACCCCATGGTGGACCAGACGGTGCGCGCCGCAGTGACTAGGCCGTTGGAGGGCGTCCAGGCGGACCGCGATTCCCCTGCTGCGTCAGCGGGGACCGCCTTCGGCCCAGACGTTTTGCTGCAGCGGGCAGGGCAACAACGCGCCTGCGGCGGCAGGCTGCGTGTGGCCGCACTGCAGGTGCAGCTTTGGGCTGGTAGGGACCAATTGGAGATCCTGCGGTGCTGCGCAGGTGCTGCACTATGCCACCGATGGCTGGCTGCTGCACAAAACGTCGGACGAGGCAAAGAAGCAGGTGGGCGTGCGGCGCGCGGCCCGGCGAGCGTCGCCCATCGCGACGAGCTGCGATGCAGCAATGCAGCCGTGCGCCCGGCTGGTCCATCGGCTGTGTGCAGGCGTTCCAGCGCCGGGCCGCACTCACCGCTGCCGCCTTGCCAAAAACCTGGCCGCACCACGCTTGCCCCCACGCGGCCGGCCAGGCGGAGGCCGACCGCTCGGAGGCCGAGGCGGCGGCGCGCTTCCAGGCCGAGGCAGACCGCGCGGCGCGGCAGAAGGAGGCGGGCATGGACGTGGAGCCGCCTGACGACAGCAGGCAGCTGAGGAACCAGGTGCGGCACGGCGGCGCGGCGCGCGGCTTGGTTGAGGGCATCCGGGCCGGCGGGGACGGGACCGAGCTGGGCAGGCTTGCCATAGGCAATCGCAGGCGTGTGCTGGTGGCAGGGCTCCTGCTGGACTTGGGGTGGGGCTGGAGAGCGCAGGCAGGGGCGAGAGGGCGCCAGCAAATAGGAAGCATTGACCACGGCTGGTTGGCAAACACAGCTGGCCGTAAATGGGGGCGTTGTCACCACGCAGCTGCCACGGGCCGCACGAACCGACTGCCTCATGTATGTCGCAAATCGGGACGTCACTGGGCCCTCGCAGTTTAACTTTGGGGAGCGGGCGGCTCAGACCTTCAACTATCCGCTGAGAGAACGCGCGACGATGACGGAGCCGCCGCCGACGGCCTCCGCGTCGGGTGCGTGCGTGTGGCAGCTGCTCGCATGCGTGCACACCTGGCAGGGTTACGACTGCGCGCCTCTGTCGCAACGCTCGACTGCAGGCTGTGCACCTTTGTTTTTTGATTGGAACCCAGCGGCCAGCGCTGCACCAGCACAGCAGTAGCGCAATTGATACGGCCGCCGCGTCGCGGTTCAGGGCTTGATTTCTTGGTCAGCGCCTGCTTGGACTGTGCCCAGCTGTCCTGCTGTATCCATCATGGCGACCATCATAATACTGTACTGCAGGGTCTTGCAGCGCGTGGGAGATATATGATGAGTACATGCGGGACGCCGAGCGCCAGCGGCTGGAGGATGCTGCAAAGCCAAAGGGTGGCGGCAAGCGCCCCTCCACCGCCGCAGCCCCCGGCCACGGCGCAGCCGCCCCCGCGCCCGCCGCCGCCC